AATTAAAAAGTTTTTCAAAAGCGCTTACAAATAAAATAACATACAAAATAGTCAGATAAATCAAACATTAAATAAACATTAGATCAGTAAAAAAAATGAACATCAATGATTGAAACTACTGCGAAAATAAATATGTTTTCAACATTTTCTTAAATTTCGCAATACCCAGAGCAGGGTCTCGTAGGTCTTTGGGAAGACTATGCCATGTTTGGCCATTTTAGGGAATTTTCCTGTACTTAGACATAAATTAATAAGTTTTGTTAAAAATCTGGAAAAGAGGAGTATATGCTTTTTAAGAAAATGTGTTGGGAGACTGTCTAAGATACACGTTTTTGTGGGATATTCACGTATTACCTTCACAACATCATCTTCAGTACATAATGCGAATGACGAAAATGTTTCACCATCCTTGGTTCGCCTGCTTGGAAATAATGGATCAACACTACCTGATGTAGCCTGTCGAACCCTGTTCATTTTATCTCTAAATAATTGAGAAAAATCATCACTTGTAAATTTCCTGTTGTCATCATCGCAACTGTTGTGAAGGTTTTTGCAAAGCATTTTGTTAACGTCATTCCACAATCGCTTTGGATTACCTTTATTTTCGTCTAAACGAGTTTGCCAAAACATATTTTTTTTTCAGTAAAAACACGGTTTTTCATCTTGATAGCATTGACCCATTCTTGCCTGCCACTATTTAATAAAGTTCTCCTGTAACATCTTTCCAATTTTCGACACTTCCTCTTTAGGTGCCTGCATTCTTCATCAAACCATGGGACATTCAAATCACATCGACTCTCAACCATATGCAATGGTGCAACCTTATTGACAATATTACAGACTGTGCTATTGAACAGTTCAAACATCTCATCAACGTCCATGCCATCACAGGGTGCGCTTTTAGGAGAATCGTAAAATAAGCCTAATGAATTCATCATCCCTCACTCGCTTCCACGACCGAACCATCTTCATAATTCGTACAGGTTTTTTAAACTTGAAAGGCAGACAAACTTTAATTAGGCCATGATCGGAATAAATTCCACTTGGAAAAACTTGAGTTTCAGAGGTAAGAATATCACAAGGAATGGCAATCAGGTCTAATATGCCACTTAGTTCGTGAGTCGGTTCATTAATAACATTTCTAATATGAAATAAATCGAAAATTTCAAACAGAGTTAACGTGTGCGGGCTGTCACGTCTATCAACACGGACATTAAAATCATCTGCAACAACTAAATTGGAAGTTAATATTGTCAAACTCTCCAGAACAGATGACAGTTCTTTAAAAAACATAGGAGTGACAGGCAAAGACCCAGGTCTATAGATGGCCAGGAATAAGTAGTCGTTCCGATTGCATATAATTTTTATTGCGATGGCTTCAAAAGTATTTAGTTGTGGTAGTTTCAGTCTTCTAAATTTAAAAATTGACCTAAAGTAAAGATATGGAGGGGAGGAACAAGGAAATTATACACTCTGAATACTAATGCAAAAGTTAAATGAATAAATAAGAAATACCTACATATACAAATGCCTTAGCGCACAATGGTGTGATAATTAAGATGCCTGGCGGTGATGTTGAGGTGACCGAGTTTGAATGCAAGCCGATCCCAGCTTCTCATATGCAATGTGTGATGCATGCATCCACGCGTATTTACCTGCGCTGTGTGTGTGTTGTTGCGGAAAACAACACTTAGGAGGGGATTGTAAAAATTCACATACATACATATATAAACATATATTAATACACGTCTTTTAATGTAGACAAAACATACATACATATATTATATATAGGCATTTACCTAACTATAACTTGTATAATATTTAGTTGATTTAGAGCTGTTTATTAAAACTCACAAGTGCATGGAAAATAAGATGTATCTGTCGAGACATCTCGGGTGAAGGGAGATTTTAAAAAACCGGAAAAAGAAAAAAAAACACAAAACAAACAAACGCTAAAGAAAAAACTAACAAATAAAAAAAACACAAACGAAACGAAAAATAAGTAAGCAATAAAAAACAGAAAATAATAAGCATACACAGAAACAAACAAAACGAAGAAAAAAATAAGAAACAATGAGGTGGAGGAACATGTGACGGGGATTGAGAGAATGGAGCGTCAATTGTTATTTTCGTAAGTGAAATTTTCTCATTATTGTCATCATCGTCATCGTCGTTTTCATCCATTCCATCATCATTTTCATCATTATCATCGTTTCCTCATCATCATTGTCATTATATTCATCTTCTTCTTCATCATCTTTCTTATCCTTCTCATCTGCAGCATTACCACTGCCATCACCTAAAACAACATCATCATCATTTTCATTGTTCCCACCATCATCAGCATCATCATCATCATCGCTATCATCATGGTCATTATCATCATCATTCTCATAATCATCGTCACCATCATAATCTACACAATCATTGTCAGTATCATCTATAAGGAACTCATCCATCACGGAATACTAATAGCAACAAAGTATAATAACATTAAAATAATAAATGCTTATTATTTTTTTATCATCATTGCTAATATATTAGTTTTATTTTTTATCTTCGTAACTTTTTAAAAGCAGAGTTTAATTAAATTGGATAAAAAACAAAACGAAATAGTTAACATCTTATTTACAGCTAGACACTAATTAACTTTTTGAACTTGTAAATGTAAATTCCAATCAGGTCGGTAGTTTACCATTTAGTTTCTCAGTTTAATAGGTTTATATATATATATATATATATATATATATATATATAGTATGATGATTGGTTATATATATATATATATATATATATATATATATATATATATATATATATGTATAACCAATCATCCTTAATACTATTTAATGTATAAATGTTTTCTATATATGACCATAACGTAAAAGTGGACTACACGCAAGATCATCGCCATGATAATTACGAGAGAACTGCGCTGATGAGCAGCCAAACATACAAAAACCCATCTGCCTCTGCTGTGTAGACACTTAAGTACCTGAATAAATATACAAAACTTAATGCAAACATTCATGTGTAGACCAAAATATATACAAACACACGCAAATATGCACACACAGACATACAAACGGAGACATACATACAAAAGCATTCACAAACAGACATACGCACGTGTTAACACTTATGCGCAGAAAATTACATAGAGAGAGACGCTTTAAATAGATATATAAATTCATTCAAAATGCAATGGCCATGCATGTACGCATGTTTGTAAGTGCACGAACAAAACCACGTTCGAACACAGGGCAAACAAGAGCTGAGAGCAAATGAGCAACTTCGTGCATATGTTAGCTAGCACAACTGTGCAATGACATTTACAAACGTTGAAACATAAACAAAATGAGTAAAATAATCATGCAAAATATTAACACACAGCCGTAGAATGTTTATGCATCAAGTTCTTTTTGTCAGTGATAACAGTGCGAGTTTAAATGAAACACGGAACAAAAACAAGTGAAACATTCAAGATAGAGAACAAACTGTTTTCGAAAGCGTTTGACAGATCCTTGAAATGTTATGTGAAATATTTATCTTGCCACCGCATAACTTGTAAGTTTTATTGAACACACATTTTTTCGTGTGAGCCAGTATGCTAGCAGCAAAAAATGAACTGAGAGTAAATGGAAATGAATGTGAACTGAACAAGGCGTCATAAACAGGAACAAGAAAGATGCACTCGATGCATACTTCCTGGTCCTTCCAGATAACTTTGTTGTGCATACGCAATAAAACGTACAACACACATAGTAATACATGCACTACCGGACGCATGCGTGCATAATTAGACAAACATACACACTTTTGTGGCAGGTTAACATTTCAAAAAATGTTTCTATTTTCTAAAATTCTTTGGCGAATTGTTCTACATTCAACGAAAAAATTTGAAGAAAACAACGCAATTTTTGCAGGAAGAACATTAGCACCGACGCAAACCACAGTGGATGAAGGATGGGAGAATTGCGTGCAACTCAACAGAAATTTTTTTCCAGTTGAATCGTCCGGCAATTTGTTCGTGCATCAGCGCATCAAGTTATAATCAGAAATCGTTTACATTCCTAACTAACGTAATTAAAACAAGTTCTTGTTTTAAGATTATACATGCCAAATCTAAACATTTCAAAATTTTTATTTTACATCATCGAATCCAAAAAAAATGGAATCAATGAAATGAAATGGTCTGCTAAACCCAGATCGCCTCACTTTTGAAATTCAATAGCAACGAAATTTATTTGATGTTATTGGAACCTCTATATACAAACTTGGAAATTTTAAATTTTTTTCTAATTTCTTCTCCGTGTTATTAGTTAATTGGAAGATTTCGCCACTTGGTGTTGGCATACGTTAATTTTCCAACAAAATCCATTTTGTGTCGACGCATGTTCCACGCATATAAATAAAAACTTCGTGGTCTTCAAAAGTAATTTGAAGGTTGAGTACCAAATAAAAAACGCGTTTATACCAATTTAGTTAATTTATTTTTAAATATAAATAATAATTAAATTTTTCGAGTAAATAAAATCTATTAAATGTTGAATTCGTTCGAAAAAACACAAGACATAATAAAGAAATAAATATTCATTCGATAAGAAACAGTATTTTATTTACAAACATGCTAGCACGCACACACACACACACACACACACACACACACAAAAGTCATTGTCAGTTACATTTGAAATATTGAGACATAATAAACAGCATTACAAGACAATAACACAAAAATTTGTACTTAAATTTAGGCCCACCTTGCATTACCATGTAAAAACTAAACAACAAATAAAGCAAGAGAACGATGGAAACATCTCAACTCAATTGAACATTCTTCAAAGATCAAGTGCTTGAAAAAATATTAAATACATTTAAACAAAAATATCAACAGCACAGACATTGAGCACATAATTGATCAGTACAATTTGATCCGGACAACTTGATCCGGGCAACTTGATCCGGACAACTTGATCCGGACAACTTGATCCGGACCTCTACTTCGGTTTCCTGCCGCGACCTGCTCCACTTGGCTTGCTCTTCTTCTTGTCTGGTCCTTTCGAATCGGTCTCCTGAAAAAAATTAAAAGATGCAGTCGTAGCATATATAGAAAAAAATGTAACTGACATGAGACAACCAAATTATGCTACAGTCTAATTATAAAGAAACTCTTAGACGAATCATAAATATAAAGGATCGTTATGTACCTTCCTCTTCTTAGCACTGCTGGTGAGCGGGGTAACCTTGAAAAAATTATCGAGACGACCTTGAGTTGATGTGGTCCGAGATTTTTCAAGTTTCTTCACTCCATTACGAATTCTTTCTTCGCTGTTCACAGAAATTGCCAAAGAATATTAGCACATATTATCCAAAAAAACATCTATTATAATTATCACTACAATGGTCACTAAAATTTCAGTATGAAATTCAAATAGTCAAATTCAACACCAAAAAATTTTACCATACACTCTCACCTATAACATTTCTTCTGGTAATAAAAACGACTGTATGTGTTGACCATTTAAATTTTTGCCAAAAAATTAAAAATTTCAACTCAATCACCACAAAATGAAATTTTCACTACAACTGGTAGTAAGTGATACAAAAATTATTAATTGATGATAGGAAAGAACTAGGACAACCTGAAACCTTTTTCTCCAACCATGAATTTAACCAATTCTTCTTCATTGGGCTCTGTCCACTTCAGCTATTACATTTAGTTTTGATTTTATTAGCCAAAATTAATAAATTTAATTTTTGATTGATATGATTGTCATGAAACTAACAAAATTACACGTTATAAACAATATTATATATTCTCTACAAAATGACGATGATTTCCTCATCAGTATCTTCTTACATACTCACTTCATCATATTGTTATCATCATTCACTCATATCATCACAACATCAACGTCCTCATCATCATCTCATCTTTACTTTTAAAGTTTTCATCATCATCTAAAGCATCATCAACATCATCACATTTTTACTATCAAATTTTGCATCACCATCAACTTCGTCTTCTTCAGCTTCATAGTATCAGCATCAATTAGACCATAGAACCAAATGGTGGCAGTCAGAGGAAAAAGCATCATAAAAATCATTATAATCACTCTCAAAGTATTTATCATCAACATCATCATCGCCCACAAATCAACATCATCATCGTCGTCAACATCGTCATCACTTCGTCATCCTCACCTCCACGGTATCAGCATCAGCAACTTCCGGCTCTTTGAAGAGTCTGCGGGCTTCTTGGAAGGGCCAAACATCGGGGAGGGGGTATTTCTAGGGGTGGTGTTTTCCAACTCGCCATCATCATTTTTCCACTATTACCATTACTATCACACATAGTCTATAGTTTCACTCATTCACTCACACACTTAATTACTCAAAGAGTTATGTATTCAAACAGTGAATTATTCATTTACTCACACAATCATTCACTTACTCATTCCCTCACTAATTAAATTACTCATTAACTAATCCATTCATTCACTAGCTTATTGGTTGACTCGCTCATCCATTCATTCACTTATTCATTGACCAATTTATTAATTCACTCATTTATTCATCGACTCATCCATTCACTCACTCACTCACTCACTATTTCACTCACCTTCTTGTCGATATTCTTGATGATGTTCTCGATGGATCGATATTGCTTCATCAGCTCAACTGCCCTCTTTGGGCCAATGCCCTTAATGGAGTCACAATAATCACAGCCGAGCAGTATGCACAGGTCTATGAACTGTCGATGGTGATGATGAAGGTGGTGACGACGATGAACTGATGGTGATGATGACGTTGGTGATGACATTGATTATGACAATGATGATGACAATGATAAAAATTACCAAAAATGCTGATGATGTTAGTAAAAACTCATGTCTCAGTTTTAACATTAAAATGAAATAAATCAAATTTATGTATTAACTAGTATATCTAACTCTTTTTTACCATTATTGTTGTGTTAGTTTTAAAATTAAATCTTTTCAAAATAGTATTTCTACGTCTGTTACTGTTGCCACATATGTTTCACCATTAAAAATAGTTTATCAGATGACACAATCTAAAATCCTCCAATCATGTTTATTCAATATGATAGGTCAAGGACATTAAATGTATAATTCATGAGATTAAAAAAATGAATAATGTCCCCAGTATGAATGCATCTAGCCACCTCATCTATGGTGAACTGCATGTCCATCAAAATCCTCTCCAAATGAAATTCTTTTATTGGCATCTTCCTAGCAAAATGAATCCATTTCAGTGAATAAAAATTTCTTGAAAATTAATTAGACAGACACAATAATCAAATTAATCACAATACACAAACATCGCATTTTGTCACATCACATCAAATAACCGACCACATCACATCACGTAGTTAATTACATCATGTCTCATCTCATCAAATCAAATCTTAATTATCATCTCAGACAGCAGCACTGAACAGAGATGAACGTGACACTAACCTAGCTTCACTGAACGTAAGATGTCTGAGAACGACAGAAGCGCCGAAGGTCAGGGCATCCATGTCCTCGGTGCCCACCGCATAAACTTTTCCTGATTTGACTAGAGATGCGCACTGAGCTTCAGCTTCACATGGGGCCTAAAAAATAGGGATATGAATGTCATTACATATCAAAAATTAATTGAACATTTTGTGTAACATTAATTAAAAAGTTGAAACAAAATAAACAAATTGAGTAAAAAGCTACTAAAATGTAGAGTACTGAGATGACTATAATTGAGATATAACATCATGAAACAACTGGCAAAGAACCAACGTCAATGAAAGGCACTCCCATTAGACCTAACAGCTGCTTGCATTCGTCATTATGTTGCTTTGTAACTTTCACTAATCTCTTCTGAAACTTCTCAACATTTTCAGCATCTCCCTCTGCTTCTGCTGCCTTCAATGATTTCTCTGCATCATCTCTCCTCTCCTTGCGCTTAGCTAACTGGAAAGTACAAAATTAAAAAGGAGGCAGGTCAGATTGCTAGTATCACTAAGAATATTGTTGGGCTATGAGGGTCAATCATCAACTTAATTATAGCAATGTACAAAAAATTTTTAAAAGTTAAAATGACCAAAAATAGAATTCCTGGTCCTCACCTCTCCAGATTTCATCTCTGGTGGCTTGCCATCAAACACATAAACAGGCTTGATACCATTCTCTATCATTCTGATGGTTCTGTAGAACATTCCCATTAAGTGGCTGGCAATTTAAATTTAATTTTTAGAAAATTAATAATAAACTATTGATAGTAAGAATAAAATCAAAATGAGTTTAGTCATAAGACTAGTATGTGCAAAAGTTGTTATAAAAAAAACCTTGTTGTTTCTCCATCAGCATTTGTGAGTGTGCTGCCATCTTGTCTGACAGCAATCAAGAACTGATAGATGCTCATAGAAGCATCAATTGCCACTTTTCGTCCTGCATTCAAAATGTACTGTACAGTCAGGTGTCAAGTCTCATCAAGTGTTTAATAATAGTTTAATTTACTTTTTCTTTAATGAATAACATAAAAATTATAAAACTTTTTTATTATAATTTATAATTAAAATATTAAATATAAACAAATTTAATTATAAATTTATTATAAATGACCAACTGAAACTGAAGCCATGGGATGCTTGTTTAAAAAACATAAAATGATAAAAATAAATTTTTACCAAAAAAGTTTTTAATTTCATTTTCTTTTACAGCAGATGGCGAATAATCCCCAATGACTTTCGATAATCCATGAATTCCCATAGCCACGAAATCTTGCTTGAACAAATAAAACTTAATCCGGCAAAAATTGGAGCATAAAATTAAATTTACTTTTAGCAGGCGCCAAAAAGATACGTTATAGTTATTTAGATTAAATGATTCTGAAGTTTGTTAAACATAATTTTTTAAGTTTCACAAAAATTGTTTCAAAAATAAATTTAAATAAAAAATAAAAATTTAACAGTTTTTAACAAAACATTATCAAACGGTTGAAAATAAAACAAGGAACAGCCGCAGTAATTTTTTATGGAAGTGCAACATTATTCGCAATTTTTTTTATCTTGGTTTCTAGAGGTTGTTAATTGATTTAAATTAAAAATTATGAAACTCCATCAAAAATTGGCCGTCAAAGTTATTCCCAATCGAAATTGTACATTCGATTGAGTTGTACAATTAGATAAATTGAACGTTTTATTACAGGTTATCGGTTTTTAATACATAAATCTCCAACGAAATCCTTCTCTTAAAAAAATTTATATTAATTAATCAAACAAATACAAATCTCAAAGTGATGTCAAACATGTACTCCAGACGAGATGTCACTCCGAGTTTTATCATCGAAGCGAAGACGAGTGACAGGAGAGATGGATCCCCCATTGTCATGTTCAGCACCAGTCAACCCAGCTACCATACTTTGCCGACGGAAATGAATTTACGACGTTATACTAAATCCTCATCGTCCAACGATACCAATAATAATAATTTCGAGTACAATACTTTACCTCACGTAGCCTCAACAGATGTCTATGTACTTCCAGAAGGATCTGATCGAAACACGATTACACTAACCAGACGAAGAGGATCTGACGAGACTCATATAGTGTCCCACCAGCCTTTTCGAGAACCGGTCTTCAAGACGACAATGATAACTCAAGTGAAACCGAGAAATGTTGATTATGGTTTTGATCAGCATCAGTATACTCAACAACAACAACAGCCCCAGATACAACTATCTGTCAGGCAATCTCCGCCTCCATCTGTCCAACAGCAACAGCATTACGCACTCCAACGACCACAACCACAGCAACTTCAAGATCAGAATCAGCATCAAAGTTATGTCATTTATCACCATGGAGCCAATCAACCTGAGAGCTACCAACAACAGAAGCATCAACAACAAAGATTTTATGAACAGCAACCCCAATACATAAACACATTTGAACCACAGGAAAGACAACAACAACATTACACCTACCAGCAACAACAACTGCCACAGCCATCTTATGCTTTTCATGTTTCAACTCAGCAACAGTCTGCAACACTGCCTCAAGCTGCTCCTAGTCGTCTAGTTTATTCCTCACAACTAGCCAATCAGGCCATTGCTAGGTCCAAACCTCTAAACCAATCAGGCTCTAGCCCTACATCACCTCAAAATGTCATTGGTTCGTTTGAGAAGATTGATGAAGACAGGAAAAATGTTTTGGTTCTTGATAAGCAACTTCTGGTAAGAAATTCAACTAATTTCTATTTGAAGATGATTGTTGATTTTGAAACTTTTCTATTTTAACCTTGTTTTTGCCAACAAAACATGTTTTTCCTATCTATATTAGTCAAAAATTTAAATTTCACTTTCACATAATTTTTCAAAACTTTTTTTGTCTTATTGGTTTAAAGAGCTGCATGAATGAAAAAAAAAATTTTTCCCATTAAATGAAAATAATTTTTATTTGTTTTGGTTTGTTGCATGCCATATAGCAGATGAATAGATAGCATGATGAATGTTATTTTACCTAAGAAGACACTAACCAACCAGTGCAAGATCTTTTGCATTATTATTATTATCTTCCTCTTAAATATAGATGTCTTCTTTCTACTGTTTATGATCAGTAAATTGCTTGGGTGCATGCAGTCAATAAGATTTAATTCATATATTGTTTTTATTTTATTTCATTTCAGATAAAATTTATTTTATGTTTTTATTTTATTTTATTTTAGATAAAATTTTAATTTTAATATATTAACTTATTTTATTTAGCCTGTTGATAAGGTACTTTAAAATTAATGTTTAAAAATGTTTATCAATTCATTTCAATCAAAAAAAAAATTAGAAATGTGAAATTGATAATTATCGTCTCAGGACAAGAAACCTCTACAAGTCAAATTAGGATTGGGTGACGTGGATGGAAAGAAAAGTGAGACAAATGATAGCAAGGAGGCAGAGGTTGATGAACTGACCAACTTGCTCATGCACAGCATGCAAATGTCTGGAGATCCTGACTTTCTAGGTGACTTTCTATTGCTCTAAATATTAATTTATATTTTATTAATATCATTTCTTTTAACTAATTATATTTCATCCCAACTTATTTAACAAAATCCTTAATGTTAGGCATGTGTACAAAGTGTGGTCGGTCGATTATGGGTTCAGCTAACGGCTGCACTGTCCTCAGTCAACTTTATCATACATCATGCTTCACATGCTGCAAATGTGGTGAGTGGGGTGTGACGATTGTGGTAATGATTTGTGATCACGATGATGAGGAGATGATGGTGATTGCAATGATTGATGATGTCATTATCATTTCATTATGATGGTAATGACAATGATGATAAGTTTGAAAATTATGGCGACTATAATAATGATATTTATGAATGATGACTTTACTTGATGATGATGATGAAATTGAAAAAAAAGGCAGAGAATTATATATGCTAAGATTAATAAATCAAGGTACCAATGTTATGCAATGTAAAATCAATCATCATATGATTGAAACATTTTTAGGGATTTATTTATTATCATTACATATTCAATGATAATAATGATATATGATGACATTGATAACAATGCTTCTTCATTGATGTCTACAATGTTGTACAAGAATCTTTTTTAACTTCTTGTTTTTATCTCTCACAATGCATATAAAGGCTTTCCTTCTTGGGTGTGGCTTGATTGAATTATTTTTATAAAAAAATATTTCAATTAAATTTTGTCTATACAATAGACATTTTAGAGAAAAAATATTAACAATTGTTAGAACATTCTTAATTTTTTTTCTAAATAAGCATCAGACTATTAATAACAACTTTAATAATATTTCATTTGTTTTACATGATATGTCTATGTGACAATGCAGTATGCTGGATTAATGTTATAGAGATGTAATGTTAATATGTCATGTTAAGAGTTTAAGTGTTGACCTCAATTGAACGCTGAAATTTTACTTTAACGTCATCATAATGTTATTTGCTGTATTGTAAAGTAATTTTAATGTAGTTCTAACAATATAATATCATCATTATGTTCTATCTTTGTTCTGATGATGTCACTTTGATGTCATTGTATTGTCGTAAATATAAATTGAACCATAGGTGTTGGACTGAAAAATGTTCCATTCTATTCGGCTGATGGTCAGTCTTTCTGTGAAAAGTGCCATCTTGTGAGTGGGGAGGAAATTGTTCCTTTTTTATCTTATCTTTAGAAAAAATTTATTTATCTGTTGGCCTATTTTTGGTCTACTTATTAATTATTATTTAGAAAAATAATTTTAAAAAATTCGAGCTATTGATTGTTATAATAGCTATATGGTAATGATGACAGTTATATTAATGATGATAGTGTCAATAGCCACAATGATAAAATGATGATGAGCGAAAATGATAGTATATCTTAATGCTACTGTATTTGTTTGTTGATAGTTATTTAAGTATTGATGAATAAAAGGAGGTAAGAAGTGATATATTATAAACATGTACTCTATATGCACTGCAATGTCATCATATGCTGGTTATGAACATAAAACTTGTGTTAAATTTGTTTATGTTTTGTTTCCATTACTATTATTATCATTATTGTTATATTCTTTCTTTTTTTTTTTGTTAAGATGAGCTTGCCGAAATGTGATACCTGCCTGAAACCTATTGCTGATAGAGTTTGTACTATTATTACTGTTGTTCTTATTATTGTTGTTGTTATTTTTATTGTTTTGTTGTTGTTGTTGTTATTATTAAGATTAAGATTATTTTATTGCTCTTTTATTGATAACATTGTACAAATCAATGATGTCTAATTGTATGGTAGAGAGGATTAGTTGATTTATTTTAATTTGCCATCTGACACTTTGTAAGTGGATAGGAATGGTAATACTTTATAACTTTATTTCATTTATTAATTTTCGGGCAATTATCATTTTGTCGGATCTCTGATCTCTGGAGTAACCTGGTATCGGTTGCAAACTGGCTTATATCTCGTCTGGATTGATGAGCCAGTGTTGAAACAGGGCAGCAACAACAACAACAACATTCACATCACTTTAATCATTGAATCATACCAACCAACCAATCATGTCAATCAGTCAGTCACGCCGTCCAATCAGTTATGCCGCCATTAAATTACCTCAACCAATCACACTCAGGTTTTGACAGCAGTGGGCAAAAATTATCACCCTGATTGCTTTTGTTGCGTCGTTTGTAACTCTTCTTTGGACAACACCCCGTTCACTGTGGACAACAGCGGTCAACCACACTGCATTGAAGACTTTCAAAAGTTAGCCTGGCTGTCTTCAGCATGATTTATTGTGTGCGTGTCTGTTTGAAATTTGAATGTACTCTCTGATAGATTTTTGTTTTAATTGTTTGTTTAAACAAATTCAAGGGAATCATTTAATGTTTGAATGCATGCTGGTATGGGATTATTTTTCTTTTTTTGTTCGATCTATAGTTTGTTGAAAATTTCTATATAAGCATGATTTATTTAGACAGTTTTTTAAACATTTTATGTCTAATTTATTTGATTATCATCCACTTTTCTTTTTTTAAATTCTTATTGCCTGGACATATTATCATATGCATCCTTTTCCTACATTATTATTGCATATCATTTATTAAGCGCCTATTAAATAATATCTAAAAGTCAATATTAGTATAACATACTACTACTATTACTACTAATAATAATAATAATAATAATAATATAATAATAATAATAATTTGTTAATATAAATCAATTAGCTCATCAAATGCTTTCACATGTTTCATTTGGATCACTGTTTGATTCTGCTCCTGATATATTTATTGGCTTGTTATTCTTTCAATCTAAGTACTTTTGCTTGTGTAATGTGATGTATCTCTTTCTTTCTTTCTCTCTTTCTCTCTCTTTCTCTTTTTTTGTATTTATCTATTTGTCTATTTATCTAACTATCTATCAATTCATCCAATCCATCTTCTATCCATCTATCTATTGCTATCTATTTTCTGTCTTTTTGTGTCTGTCTATCTGTTATTATATTCATCTATTTTTTGGTCTATCTATCTATCTTTCTGTCTATTTGTTTGTTTGTCTATTTGTATGTATATGCGTGTGTATTTGTTTGTGCATCTTGTTGTATTGGTAAACAAACATATGTTAATATGTATGCTTGTGTTGATATTCACATGCTTACATAGGAGTTTGCATTTGAGATGCATTTGTGATACATGATTCAATTTATTGATAAGGAGTTTATAGACAACATTAATTAAGATCTTTTTTAAATGAAAAAAAATTAACGACACTCATAACGTTAATAAAATACTATTTTTTTAAATGATATAATACTATCAAAAAAAATGTACTAGGGATTTTATAATGGCTGATGCTAGTGACAAAGATACATTTTTGTGATAGTTATTTACTATTGACAGAAACTCACCTCTTAATTCCTTGGGAATGAAGATGAGAATATAATATTAACAATAAATAAATGAATGACAACACAAGACCACCATCTACAACATCACCATGAGTGGATGAATGATTAAGTTGTTGGCTGGCTGGTTGGTTGGTTGGTTAGCTGGCCAATTGATCGATCCTTTCATTCAAATCCTTCGTTTTATTCATTCATTATTTGTTCATCCATTCAAAATGACCTACCCCCTGAATAGAAAATACTCCCCAAGATGCGACGGGTGTAGTGGTCTTATTGTGCCTGACGAGAACAGTGGGAAGGCCACCAGGGTCACCATACTCAATATGAACTTCCACGTTGCTTGCTACAAATGCCAGGTTACCACTACATGTGTCATTGTTCATGGTGATGTTGTTGATGGTGTTGTTGGTGTTGTTGTTGGTGTTTTTTGTCGTCTGCTAGATGGTTGATGCTAGTACCAGGGTTTAGTTGATTCGTCACTGGTGTGATTTTATGTTATACGTTAATAGTTTCAAGACAAATTTGTTTTTGTCAATGAGAAATCATTTTTTTTTTCACCAATACAGGATTGCAAAGTGCTTCTGACACCAGTCACGCTGTCGTCGTCAGCAACATCAACAAACAACAACAACAACAACAATGCAGACAACAGCACTAGATGTTTTCCATTAGATGATATGTTACTCTGTCAAAAGTGCCACATTAAGAGGATAAATAAACTCACTAATAAAGCCAACACTGATGTTTAATAGTGATGACATGTTGATAACGACGGTGATGATGATGATGATGATGAATTTGAGGATGGTGACTGAACTGGTTATAGCTACAATAATGAAATAAAGACGAAACTAAGTATGATTAAAATAATGTTTTCTGAGTGAATTTACCTAAGATTACGACAAAAATGTAAACAATAATGGTAAAATTTGAATGTAAAAAGACTATAAATGATAATTATAATGAGATTAAATGACATGATGATGACCAATTTTGTCATATATTAATCATACGATGTTTTCATTTGACTCATTTTAATGATTACGAAACAATTCAGTAATGTGATGTTATTTTATTTAGGTGATGACGACGACGACGATGATGATTAATGATATCAAATATTATTTTAATACATGGATACAACCATGGTAGTGTGATAATGATGCTGATGGTAGCTTCATGGTGATGATTAACTTGTTAGAACATTGATTCATTTTATATTGTTTAAAATGATGATGAGACAAGAAAGATGTGCCTCTGTTATGTTAATGATGACAGTAATATACTCATGTTTGAAATTAGATCTGAGACCTATTTAAAGTACTGTATAAATATTACTACACACACACACACACAAATACTTACGTGTGTGTGTGTGTGTGTGTGGTGTGTCTATGTGGTGTGTATGTGTGTGTGGGAGAGATGTAAACAGTTAGTATTGAATTGCATTATTAATACCCAATATTTCATGGTACCCTGTTTAATACCTCTTGTGATTCGTTATTTAGAGGTCCTGGATAATTCATTACGCTGTGCAGACTTGTGTGATGTTTATGTGTTTAGTGCAAGTGTGTTATATACTCGTTTACTCATATACATACACACACGCGCGCGCACACACATACATACGCATAGATATATAGCGTTTATGAGTCTTTTTGTCTGTGTCAGCTATCTATGTAATTTGATTAATTTGTGCCTTGTCTCTTAGTAACCTCCTAATTTATTATTATTATTGTTGTTGTTGTTATTATTATTATATTCATTTCTTTTTTTCTTAAATATTTCAAAAAGGTTAAAAAAGTGACAGAACTGTATTGCTAGTTATATTCGAAAAATGTTATCGAATTGAAAATTTGTTCCTTTGGTGCTTTCCCTTCTATGATCAAATGCAACGTCGCCTGTTAACCGAATGAGCGTTTCATATTTATACCAAACAATCATTTATGATCTTTCAAACTTATTTAGTACTCAGTTAACATTTTTCGCTGAAATTTTTGAGGGTTTATTATATTGTTAAAATAGCTTAAGACTTTTTTTTATACAAATTTTCATTATTATTTTTTAACTTAATTATACAAGTTATTTTTTATTAATTCTAAACTGACACACATTTAATATGCGAACAATTTTGTTATATTGTTGATTTTCATCATCTCAGTTGATTTTCTTCCTAGTTTGGTTGGACTTCTTGTTATAAAATATTATTCATCATATATTATGACCTTTAATATTACTAATTACATTTACTTTTATTTGCTAATAACATTTACTAGATGAATATTGAACCCATCGCTGATCATGTTGCATCGGTTGAACCTATAAAGATCTTATTTTTTATTATTTATATCTTTTTGACGTTGTTAAACTCGACGCACATATACAAACGTATACGCAAAAACACACAAACGCAGATAGACAGGCATACAAATACTCAAACGTCATACACATACTCGAACATCATACGCACACTCAAATTGTACACGTATTTTAAAGTTTGTAATATAAGAACGCCTTGTTTATTATGCTTTTCCATCCATTTACTCGTTATATTTTATTTTCATTTTACCTTTTGATTACCGTTAATCCAATCTTTTATTTTTGCATTTTTAGTTTATTTTATTTCATCTAAAAACTTTCAACAACTTTCAAGAAATCTCTTTTAAATTAGTTCTTATTGTTACCTTGTTTCGTGAATCGTTCGTTTTGCTATGATGAAAAAAGAGAAACTATTTTTATACTGAATTTGCGTCAGATAAAATCTTATTTATAATATTTTTGCAGTATGAATGATTGTTCATTTTTATTGTTAAACATTCTATTTTTCAATTAAACCGCTTGAAATTAACAATAAAATCTATTCAGAAACAGTGATTTTAATAAAAAATATTTTTAAAAGAAACAAGTCGGTTTTGATTACTGTGCATACAAACATGCAACAATAAATAAAACAGCATAGAGATTATTTGAACGCACAAGATGACACTGAAATTAATTACGAAAAAATGTTATGACAAATTGTGTTTTTCAGATAAAAGTTTCAATGCGTGAACGTCTTGCATTGTCACATGCCTGTAATCATTCAACTTGTATCTCTTGAGGTTAGACCGTTGCGATGCGGTTGCGGAACTTTCTGAATTTGTTGCTGCAACATTTGAAGTGGATGTGGATGACGTTGATGCAGATATTTCCAACTCAAATATGGCTGATAACTGGATCAGTGATACCTGGCACTGCTTGATTCCCTATTGGTTCAATCGAATTCAAATGCAGTAGGCGTATACTTGAAGTTATTTTATTACGACGTCTCGAGTTTCAATTAGGGTTTATATCGTTGAACAGTTAAAATGAAATCTAATATTTTATCTTTTTATTGAACAGTTTTTAAATAATTTTCGTGAGAAGTGTATGAAAGTTAAGTGATAAGATGATTTACATGTGTTTTCATTCAGCCACCTTACTATACAACAACGACAGTTGGTAGACGATATTCTGCATAATGGAGGGTGTCTACTTTTATTGTCGCATAAAATGATTAAGAAGATGATAGTAAAAATTGATGGATGAATAGATGTGTGTGGAGTGTTTGCAACATTTCTGCAGATCTTTCTTCGATATGCAAGTTTATTGGGCTTTGTGTAGATGTTTTATGTCAAACGGTTATGAAAATCTCATGAAAATTATAAGAAAGTGTGTCTACACGCCAACAATTTATATATATATATATATATATATATATATATATATATATATATATACTTTTTTGCGTGTAATAAAATACTAAGAGAGTAAAATGGCTAGCTGTCAATAATAGGTCTAGAAAATTTTACATAAGAATTAACACACAGACACTGAATTATGATAAAAAAAAATCATTTGAAATTTTTCTTACCTGGGTTATTTTCTCTCTCAGTGACAAATCTTTCTTTGCTTTTTCTCTCATTTCCTGGATGGATGTGTTATCAAAAAATTTACCACTCAACATGATTTGAAATTTTTTATTCATTAAAAAATAAGAAACTCTGCTGAATGTTCAAAAATTCATTCAACATCTAACTAACGTCATTAGCGAATGAATTAAGGAAAAATTTAGGGCCTCAAAAACTACCAAATTAACTTACATGACATTCCTTGGCAGTGAACCCAATGAGTTTGGAGAGTAATTTGTCACCAAGAGAGACATCTAGATGACAGGTACCGTCGTTAATTTTGGCCCCCAGTGACCAAAAATGACCACTATTGTGCTCAAGACGACCAATCACAGTTGAAATGTAAGCCTAAAATTATACAAATTTTAATTTTTATAGAAAAAACACTTTGGTTTAAATTTTAAAGATTTAAAATATCGTGAAAACAACTGGAGAGTGGAACTAAATGTATTTTATAGCCAAGAAATCAGAATAATTTGAACAGTATAAAAAGAATAAAAAAGCGATACTCTGGTCAAGAAACCAAGAATCAACCATGAATCAAACCGAAATGATCAAGACATAAGTAATCTATGTCTTAAATAAATAAAGAATAATTACACATAATAACCTAAAATAACAAAAGCGCAAGCAATAATAAAATAAAAAAAATTAATGATAACAAAAAATAAACTTTTATAGGGTAAATTCCAGGTACGTTCTCTTTCAAAACTAGGCAAAGATAAGTATAAGGCGGCTTGGTTTGCTTCTGTGGTACTGCTGCTACTGCTGAGTTGCTTGCCGAGATATTCATAGTATTCCTTAAGAGATTCGATGTATTTGTTGTTAAGCAATTAACATCATCGTCATTATCCAAATCAACTATATACTCAATGATGTCTTCCATATCATCGTCGTCTATGGCACTTTCATGGCCAGATATGACATTATTGGCATTATTATTATTGTTATTATTATTATTGATACTATTATTATTATTATTATTATTATTCAACTTGATTCGTTTGCATCTTCCTGACTCTATTTCAGAGGACTCGGCTGCAATCATCATCATGAAATCATCCTCATCATCATCTTCATCGCCGTAATCGTTGGTATTATTATTATTATTATTAATGTTTCTGTTACTGTTGTTGCTGTTATTAATTTTTAAATTTTTCAAATTTAAATCGTTGTTAGTTTTAGGGTTGTTGATTTTATTTTTAAACGAAACATGTCTATTATTATTCTTATTATTAACATTATTATTATTATTATTGGAGATAGAATAATTATCACCATGGTTTTTATCGATACTACATTTACTACTTGTAGTATTACCACTATCACCATTATAACTACTAGTAAGTAATGTGTAATTTTCAAAAACCTTTATTGGCAGATCGTATTTGGATTTATTATTATTATTATTGTCACTGATATTATTATTATTATTCCTTTTATTTCTATTATTATTATTGTTGTTGTTGTTGTTAGTGTCGCCACCTGTATTGCAGATGTTTCTTTTCCTTTGAAAGTTCAAAGTTTGCCAAGATGTCCAAATACTTGCAGACAGGTCAGCGTAAATTTTCCATTCTCATAATCATCATTTTTATCATCACCCATTATATCATTATCACATCATCGTTATCATCATAAACAAACAACCATCGTGACCATCGTCATCAAACAACATCATCACTGCCATTGTAATCGCTGGAGGAATCATATAACCACCACGATTATCATCTACATTATCATCAACAAATAATCATTTGATAATGAATGCAACACAAATAAACAACACCATCTACAATTACATATCAACAAACGACCGCTTATGACACCAAACAACAGTATCTTATGACACCAAACACAACAGTATGTGTGACAAAAACAGCAGCATGACACCACAAAAAACAAACAACACCAGGTCTAGCGACACTAACAGCATATCTTGCAGTTTGGCGAGCATGTACGTACTGCCAGAACTTTCGCTGTCAACTTCACCTCCTAGAGCTGTTACATTTTCTGATCTCAAAAACAAAACCCCCATTCGACAGAGAACCTCTCCATGCACTAAAATCTTTAGAGTGAAAAAAAAAACATGTAAATAATTCGGATGTGGTATGGTAAGTTTATTTATAGATATGATTTTATATTACATTATCATTTATTGAAACAATTATCCTTATCATTATTATCAGTCAATAATGAAAGATTTAACAACAACAATGATGAAGGTACCAACACCATCAACAGCGCAACACAAAACATCAGCATCATAAACAAAACTTATTTAAAAAACACACACTTCTGGAATTTAAAAAAACAACAATAAGGATGAGAGTAACTACTTTGGATCCACAGCTGATGTTGTTATTGGTGTCATTGAAAGAGTTAATGTGACGATACTCGATGGCTTGTATGTCTTGTTGGCCATCTGTCAGTCCCAGCAACAACATCCGTGACTGTTTACTGTTGTGGGTGTTGTTGTTTTCCTGATCAAAAGTGATTTTGTTGTACAAATTAATTAAAAAGTACAATTTAATAAAAATTAAAATGTCAAAAAATTTACATCTGAAAAAAATTAGGAGAATCATAAGAAATAGCTAATAAACACTTGTGCAATAAACATTAATAATAACACTAATAAACATTCGGAGGCCAGCCAGAATTAAAACATCAATAACAATCACTAAATAGAAGGAATACATATGAAAATCTTTGTTCGAATAAACATTTCTTAATCTGTAAATAAAACATTTCGAGTAAACCTGAGTCTGTTGAGTAGCTCCACTAACAAGTACATTCTCATTCTCAGTACCAGACAACTTTTGAATCTGTGCATACATACAGAGGTGTGCTTACATCAACAAATGATGTTATCTGTATTGTTTTTCATGATATTAGCATCAGATATATATATATATAAAACAATTCAGATATCATCATTTATATATATATATATATATATATATATATATATATATATATATATATATATATAAATGATGATGAGTTGTAGCAGAGGTAGAAATAAATAATTATAGTTATAAAATCAAGCATACAAATTTTTTTTACATTATTTTATTAATTAAAATAAACACTCTTAAAATTGCTTTTATTGGAATATTTTGGTATATATTTGATTTTAAAATTAAATTAATTAATTTTAAATGATTAGATAGATTAGTTATGAAATTTAATTATCAGTAATGTAGAGAAATATATAAAAAGAAAAAAAATTAATAGACTTGTAGAAAATGAAATCCTTTAAGAATGAACTTATCAGCCAAGTTTAAATTTTCAGGAAGACAGGAGTAACCAATGTCTTTCAGGTCACACATTAACCACTGGTCAAAAACCATATCACAAAGTTTTACACTGGTTATGTTGTTTTCCTGTTAAATCAAAACTTACTTTTTACTTTTTTTTATTACATTTGTGAATTGAGAATAAAACAAAAAATTTTTAGTACTAATAAAAAAACTCTGATTATTTTTATGTTATTCATATTAGATCATATTTAATATAAAATTATTTATCATGACATATAATTTTTTTTATTAAATTACTATTAGAAAAATTGCAGAAATACTTTATCAATTTATTTAATCATGACTAGCTTTAATAGAATAGAGATAGACTAGACACAAGAAGACTCTAGAGTGTTAGGTTAGTGGCGTTAGTAGTCTTTACATTATTTTTACTCTCTGAGAGCTTCAGTTAGCATAATAGTTTGGTAGTGATAGGCTTCTTATGCGAACTAATTAACTAAACAATAGTCTCTAAATAAAAGTAATATCTAGTACCTACTTACTAACTGATTAAACAATTAATTAAACTAAACTTACTAAAGTGAAAAAAAAAGATAAAGATAAAAAAACGTGCTTGATGCTCGCTGTGGATCCATTCAATGCAGGCATTCAGCCAATCATCCGGATACTGAATTTTGAATAAATTATTTAACCAAGTCTGAGCAATTTGTGCATCTGCCATTTTTAGATTATATATAAAAATAAATCAACAATAAGATAAATTTACGTACAATGAAAAGAAAATTTAAATTCGAGCGTTAAGACATAAATTTACTTTTAAAATATGTTGAAGCACTTACTTTTTAAACAAAAAAAATTTATACTATAAATACGAATTCTCAAAAAATAGTTTTATGTTCAAAAAAAATAAATTTTAAATTAATTCAATTTAATTCATTTAATATCTCGTTTTCATCAAACTTTTCATTCCCGTCATCTTCATAGCAACTAATGCAATGGCGGTGTTTATAAACAATATAATTAACATTATACATTTGTAAATGGCTTTTTGCTTCCATAAGTAGTGTTTAAATATTTTATTTTCAAATTTTTATTTAATTTAATCAATGCTAATGTTGCTTCAATTATTTTTAAAATTTATTTAAATTTTTTTTTAAATAAATATATAGAATTTAATTTTAATTGGGAATGAAATGTAGATATTGTAGGAAAATCAAAAGATGGCTGAGATGTTTGTAAATTTTGTTTATTTTTAAATTATTACCAAAAACTAAATAAAAATTATATAGTATATATATGCAAAATAGTTATTTTACCTTTTGGTTTTATTTCTAATCTTATCTTTTTTTATTATTTTTATTTATAAAGTTGGTTAGGCAATTTCAATTCTCCATGATTTTTTATTTAATAAACATTATGATAATATTAATATTGAAAAAATATATATTAAAAAATTTAAATGAATAATATTTCTGTTAAGTTCGGAAATGACAAAATCCCTCTTTACTTATTGAATTAATTTAGAAAATAATATTTAATTGATTAACACTAACTAAATGACTAAAGAGATGTCTTTTTGACACAAAACAACTATTCATTTTATTTATTTGATTTATTTTTATAATTAGTGAAATAATATATTTAATCCTCACAGCTCAAAACTCAGATTACTAGTTGGTCATTTTGAGAAGTTGATGAGAATAACTGATGTTGGGAAGTTAAACCAAGAAGATTCAAATCAGTTGAAAGCATTGACTGGAAAGATTATAAAAAGTCTACATTACCACAGTATGTTTGACTACTTGATGTTTATATTGCCATTTTGTAAGTATGTTAATTGTTTAACTTTTTAATATATGTATTGCTACTTGTATTTGCATGTATATTGCATAATTTAGTGTTTTTAGTTATGACTGTATTCTTTACATTTTAATTAAATGTTTTTTTAATTTTGTTGTTTTTGTTTTGTTATAGACTTAATTATTCTTTTAATTTTTTACTGTTCTATTTATCATTTGTTTGTTTATTTATTTAATTGATCATTCATTCAATCAATCATTTGTTCTTCACCATAGAGAGCCATTCATAGAACCATTCTTATCTATATCTATCCACAAATCTGTTGACACTTGCAATCAATTCGATTAATTCACTTTATTGTCTGTTCTCATATCACCTTTTGATGTTTTTTGCATTTTTCCATCTAAGGATTGCAGATTCTTTGCTCATCCAACAAAGTCTCCAGCAATAAATATATATGTAATATATATGTATTACTGCGTGTGCGTTTGCGTGTGCGTGCGTGCGCGTGCGTGCGTTTGCGTGTGCGTGTGCGCGTGTGCAAGAAAGTGTGTTATTTATTTTGATCGTTTTTATTATTCTCCCCATCAATTTTGCTTGGTGTAAGCTTTCGCCATGAGATAATGTTTACAAAGTGATTTTTTATTAACATTTTTGCAAACATAGAAAAAACATGGATAGGAATGTATGGATGTATGTGTGTATGTGTGTGTATCTGTATGCATATACACATATATACATATACACACACACATACACGCGCGCGCGTGTATGCGTATGCTCTACTATTTTTTGTAATATATAAGCAGTAGCATATATCACATACAGATTATATATACTTTTTCTGCTTCAATTGAATATGTATCTATATGCTCATTTTTTTTAACAAAATTCTATCCAATTATCTCTAATATATAGTTGCTTTTTGCTTATATAAACCTGATACTAACATACTCACGAATTTGTTTTACATACATACATACGTGTATATGTATTAGCCTTTTTATACTAATAGATTCATTCCATATTGATATATTTAGATAAATATTTATATATATATATTTGAAGTCATTAACATGAACACACATACAGTGTGCCGACATATTTACTAGTTTATTATGTTGTATTGTATCATATGATTGTGTTGTATCTGCAACTTCATCCCATATCTAGTAGACTGCTAAACATAGATGTGTTTGATTAAAAAAATTCTGTTTGACGTGTGTGTGTGTGTGTGTGTGTGTGTTTGTTTGTATGCGTGTTTGCTTGCCAATTTTTGTAAGCGTGTGTTTCTGTTTGTATATGTCTGTGTTTGTGTATGTGTGTGTGTGTTGCTCTCATTAATTATTTTAATTCAACTGCAAAATGTGTTGAGAGATATTTGTTGTTTGCCATATTGATGTCAGTAGTAAATCATTGCATTCACATATTTGTTGTTATTGTTTTTCGTTTTTTAAAAGGTTTATTTGTTTTTCCTTATTTCTTTTTTTGAGGAAATAAAAATGTTTTTTTAATATTTTTATGTTCATTATATTGCTCTTTCTATGTGTCTAGATGTATTTGTCTAAACGCGTTTGTACATGTTTATTCCATTGTTTGTTTGTTGTAAAATTAAACCTATGTACTGTCGAGTATTATAAAAAATGTATATATATACAGAGAATACGGAGAGAAAGAGAGAGAAAGAGAGAGAGAGAGAGAGACGGAGAAGAGAGAGATTCTTACAAGAATATTTATTATAAATTTACTAAAAGATGTGTGGATGATTGATTAATAAGGTGTATGTATGATGTAAGTTATCAGAAGTTAGGACAGGAGCAAAATCGTACTATGTTGTTAAACGCTGCTTGTTGGGCACGTTAAATTTAGTGTATTCATTCATTCATTCAGTCATGTGTTGGCATGCGTTAATGGTACATGCAAATTAATGTTTGTGCCACACGCGCTCATTTAAATTTGTTCATAGGAGAGTCATTTAATCTTGCCACAAACCTTTCTCTTTAACATCCTTATCACAATTTTGAATAGTTTTCCAATACTTTCATTCCTTGTTTTAACCTATTTGACCAATTCATCTTTTATCCTGTAGAGAAAAAACGTCTTAAATAATGTTTGATTTCTGTCACATTTGACATTTGTACACTATTCCACGGAAACCAACACCCTCATAGATATTGTTACTGTTCATTTTGTGTTGATAAACGCAAGGATAATGTCAAACCTAAACCTCGCTCTCTTATAAATGAAAGCAAGCAGCATCCAAACTCGTAGATGGTCTAATTTTTAAATGTCTAACTTCATCGATGTTTCAACAATCCAAAAATTATTTTAAATTAAAACATCTGACAAAAATATAAAAAGAATAAACATAATAGCATATTTATTTACTGATTATAACATTTCATGCATAAGTAACGCAGAATTACTTGGTATTATATTTTTATAATTTAGAAGTTGTATAATACTAGGTGTACTAGCAGATGCACTAGTAGTTTAATGGTAGATACTATAATACTTAATACTAGAAACTGTTTGGCAAATTACAGTTATTGTGTTTGTATAAATATTTTTCATTCAAGTTAATAATTTCTTGCTTGGTGTTCTGTTCATACATTATTGTGTTTGTTGCATATAATCATTCTTCAGTTCATTGCGATTATCAAGATGGCGAGTGGATTTTTTGGTTGGTGATTGCATATCTATCCGATCTGGAAAGTTATTCAGTTATGCAGCTGTTCATGGTGCGGTGTGGTGTAATTATTATTGTTGTTTTTGTAGGTGGTTGAATTGTTATGAGATGATGTGCGTGCGTGTGGTGTGCCTGATGTTATTTGGAATGTGTGTACGAATGTTATAAAAATGTCCTGGTTTATTTCTTGGATCTTTTGGCATCTCGCTCACTGTTTAAAATAGTTGTCTGTTTTCCTGTTGTTCGAATCATGAAATCTTTTGGTAAGTGGTTAATTGTGATATGATATTTTTATAAGATGTTTATAACCAGGACATGGTGTTCAAATAAATATTTATTGATATAACTCATTAGGAACAAACGTAGCATACGTTACCACCGCAACCATTCACGTCATTTTGCTGGCATTAAAAATGTTCTTAACCAGCGAATTAATATAGAGATGCTTACAGCAAACATTGAACTTTGATATTTCCATTTTTTGCAGATATGTGTACGTGATGCTTGTATGCCGCCTTGATCAGTTGGTACGTTCCGTACGATTTATTTCATCGCATTGCATTATTTTTTATTAAGCTACAGATCAAATATAATAATTTTTCTCAATCTGTGAAGAACCGAATTTTTCTTCGTTATGCAAATTTTATTGATCATTTTCACGGGTGGTTATTTATAGTCATTTATATGCGTGTCGTTGACGTCATCATCTATCATCATTATCGTTACATCATTTCATCATCCTCAACATTATCCAGAAATTCGCTTAAGCCAACATTTCAAATTTGTCTTTCCGGAATCATTATAGTGAATTGATAAAAATTTTTTGACTTGTTGCGTCTCCAGTATTTCAGATAAATTCCTTGCCATTATTTTTTATCGATTTTGTGAGAGAGATTAATTGGAATATATTGAAAAAAAAGGATGACATCAGGGAAACCAGGGATTTTTTTTTGCTGACTGACTCGAATGGGGTGTTACTAGAACATTCATTTCAACAACAAGCACACGTCTTATTATTAATATTTTTCAAGCAACAATAATATCGCACTATTGCACTCAAACGCCACTCAAACTCCAACGCATACGCATACTCAATGATTGCCACAACGAACCAAGAAACATGGCATATAAGCAGCACGCAACGCAAGGTTCGACCTCGCATCAAAGTGAAGTACTTCCTCGGTACAGAGATGTAAGGTAGGAACGTTTGTGTCTTGCAGTTTGCGTTCATTCGGGTTTGTTTCTGTTTACAAACACACAAACATTTTGTGTTTATGTTTGATCATGTTACTCTTACAAAAAATATTACGATTATATTCACGAATGCATGAAGATGTTGAAATACTTAATGAACGACAAAAGTCTTAGTATTAAGAAGCGAACCTATGCGGCTACGTTATTGTTGCGTTAAACTGAATTATTTGAAGGTTAGATCAAAAAATTGTTCAGTTTCTGATCAAATAATGCATGTGGAATGGTAATAATTTCTTTCATTTTTTTGAGGAGCCGAATTTTTCTTTGTTATGCAAGTTTTATGTTCCATTAAGAGACTGACTTCATGTTCATGCTTATGGATTTATTATCAGTTGTTTCAATGACTGCATCATCGAGATATCAATTTTATTGGCGCTATATAATTGTCTTAATGACACTAAATAGACAGCACCGTTGATAGTATGTACTATGCAATTTTTTTACTTTTTTTCGTTTATTTTTACTTTTTTTATGTTTTTTAAACATTAAAATCAGGTTATAATATAATCTAATCAAAAAACATACACACAAACACACACACACATAAGCACACACACACATAAACACATGCACATATTTACTCATACATTCGCTTGTTTACACTTTTTACCAAATTATTTTAAATAATTATTTTAAATAATTTTCAGGGTTATTTTTGCACGTGTTTTTGATTATGGCTGTAGTTGATATATATATGTATATGTTGAGCGGTTTTTTTGTAATCTTGTGCGTGTAACATAAGTTTATTGTGTTTCTCATGTTGTTTGCTCAGTGAATGGTTACTACATTGTTCGTTCGTTTGTTCTTTTGTTTGATTGTTTGTTTATTCGTTTGTTAGTTTGTTCATATATTTGTTTGTCTGTTTGCTAATTCAGATGATCATAGAGCCAATTTCAGTTGCCTACTTGATGATAACTTCTTCATCAACAAAGTGTCCTCATTCTTGGAGGTAGTAATTATAAAAATGATGATTATAACGATGATTGCAATGATGACGACGATAATAATGATTATCGTAATGTATTCAACGCTGGTGGCTGGTGGTGATGGTGATTTTGCAAATAGTGTTAGTTACGTTGGTTACGTAATTCAAGGATGATGAAGAAGATGATGATGAAGCGATTGATTGTAATTCCGATGGTGATAACGACGACGATGATGGAGTTTATGATGATGATTATTTCAGAGAAGATTATTGTAATTGTGAAAAGATTGGTGGCACTTTTAATGGCTTAAATTTGATTTCGAAGCTAAAACATTTCCACAGGGACGATGACTGATTACTTTTTATTGATTTCGTTAATAGAAAATCATTTACGTAATTTTCATAACATTAATTAGTATCGTAATTGATAGATTTTTAATTTCATTTGATTTAGATATTGATTTTACCATATAAAATCATTTAAGAAATACAAATAATTAAAATTAAACCAGGTACCTAGGGACAGAGTGCTGCATTCAAATGCAATGGAGATATTGCTGTTGCTTTCCAAAAGCGCAGGTCATATATACGATGGTGGTGATAATGGTGATAATGATGATGATCTTAATGATGAGAGGATATTGATGATGTTGACGATGAAGATGAGGGTGATGACTTTTATGATGCTGTTTTGATTCTTATTCAGTCAACTCAATTACTTTACCTACCTAGTAAGTTTGATTGAAAGTGAACTATTTATATAATCCATGGCTTCTCAAATTAGTGGTCCGCGGACCGCTGCGTTAATGAGAAAATTCATGGGTGGCTGTCAGCGACATTCCTGTTAAATTCGTTGCAGGTCCGCGGAACCAAAAAGTTTGAGAAACGCTGATATAGTTCATCAACTGTTCATCCAAACATACGTGCAACTTGCCGACCGTTCTAAAACTTATTTTTCGTTTCGTTTTTGCAGCTGGAGCCGGTCGAAAGTTGCATCGACATCAGCTGACCCTGGTTCAATCTCTCCTGAAGACAATCAGCCAGGAATTCAAGTTGGTGGACTGTTCTGATGATATCATCATCAATGCTTTCAAACTGCTTGCAATCATTGCTAAATTCGGTAATAATGATGATAGTGACCCCGATGAGAGTGATGCTGATTATCATTATATTCCTGGTTGTTATCAAATTAATGTGTTGATGATGGCATGACACCGTATATATATATACGGTTCAGTTTATAAAACCTTCATCATCAGATCACCAGTTTGCTTTGAAAGTTAAGATCCATCAATCAACTAGGGTGATCGTTACAATGTTGAACAAGTATCTCAACAATGTTGAAGGGTTGGTAGTTGTGTTGAAGATTCTCAAACTTGTTGCCAGAGACGGTAATTATGTTTACGTATTACTATTCTATTATAATTATTTTGTACCAATTTATGTAGGTTGATAACCTAACAGTTGTGTTATAAATAGATCATCATGCATATGTAACTTGACAGCAAAGATGTTTGTGGCACGGGCCTATCTTACTTATAGTTGCAGTTGTTTGTACGAGTATCTTTGAAAATTTTTTGAATTTAGGTTTAAAACTTTGTTTTTTCAAGTGTTCACTTCGCGTACAGCAACTGTTTTGTACAGAGGCACACTTGCATTTGCCTGCAGGTAATGGCACGAGCCAAGCACAGCTCTCCAAATTAAACGTGGTGGAGACTCTGCTTGAAATCTTTTCCGGATGTTGTTTGTTGAAGGATGTCCAACTGACCAAGCTGGTCCTCGTCTGCCTCAATCTTCTGCTCAGGCAAAGTTAGCTACCGTTCGTTCTTTTGCTGTTTCCTGTTGTGTTAATGATGCGTAAATGTTGATGATGGTGGTGCCAATTACAATAACAAATAGCACAATGATAACTTTCAGTTGTACTTAATGTACTTTGGTTATTATATTTAAATTCACTTAATTTTAGCATTTTTTCTCATCTTAATTCTCATCTCTTTTGTCATCACTTTTCAAATATCATCATTGCAAACACTTACTTCACGATTGACGTCATTGTCAGAGAGTCACGTGGAAACATTCGTCTCGAAGAACGGTACAGAGCTGATGATGAGGACGTTTGAAGAGTGGAGCAGAGCAGACACGAAGAACAAATCAATTGGAACGAGGTTGTCCGTCTTGCTGGTCATCAACCAGATCACTTGCTACAGTTAAGTGTGCAACGTGCAAATGATCTCTGCGATGTCAATCTAGTTAACAATATATTCACGTGTCTGCATACAGTACAAATGTGTAGTAGTTTGTGATGTTTTTATACAGAAATGAATGTATATTATTTAAAACTCTCACTATTGTTATCAGAGTGTGGTATTTTCTACATGCATCGGATATTCGGGGTGGGACGTCTCTTCCAAATTTCAAAGTCTTTGAAGTCAACTAGGAGGCTTGAGCCAATCATACTCCTCTCTTTGGATGTCATGCGCAAGTGCCTGCCTAACAACAGACTTCCGGTAAGCTCTTTGATTGGTCCGTTCAAATTTCCTCTGCTCAACCGTTCTGCCAACGAGGTGGATACCTTCGTATCGTCGTCCAATCAAAGTGTTCGATCTAATTCTTTCGCGTTTGATTCGGCAGTGAGGAATGATGCCGATGATAAAAGTAACTTGAATGCGAGCATTAACACAGGAGATATCTTACCAGACTTGGCAAGTAGCACTAGTGCTGCAAGTACTGAAGGTTCGGTGCAGATTTTGTTACTCTTCCACGTTTGTCAATTTTTATTTATATGAAAAAAATAATATTGGTCGATTTCGTTATTTACCTGTAATTGATTTTCTTTATTATACAAGTATAACCTTGTTTTACTAACATTATTTCATTCTGATATTTACTTTTGGTATGTATTTATGTCTGTGTTTGAGTGTTGCAAATATAGACACATAGATTTGTTATCGTTAATGTGTAACTTAAATTATTGGTTTCAATAAAACTAAAGCAGGTGGCCACACACCATCGAGAAACTTACTGCAAACCTTCAACTCGGTTAGAAGATTGACATTCTGTTATTACAATTTTTAATCTGTAAAAATTTTGTGAAATCATTTCTTTTTATACACTGACGTAAACCACATTAAAGGCAACCAAACAAACTAAGATATTTTTGTCAAAGTCTGATTTTTAAAAAATAACGAAAAAATAATTTGTGCCTATCACTAATCCCGAGAACTATACAAGTCAACCACTGAATACACGTCCAAATTATTGCCATGCAGTTACACAGTTTCATCGTTATTTTATTAAAATGGCATTTCAATTATGTCATAGCTGCGTCATAATTTCGTTTCTTTTTTTTTATAGTTCGGTGTCGCAGTAGGAGGAACTGTCTCGAATGACTATAAAAAATTTTTTCCAGAGTATCACTTGATTGAGGTATACTAGTAAATTATTATTATTTATTGGTATTAAAATGTGTTTGCTAGTTGGTTGTCATATTTTCAACCGGCAGAAATTAATAAGTAAGTTGATGAGGAAACAACGACAACGGCAATACCTTCAAAAACAGCTTACTCAAGAAAAGCAGCAAATTCAGCTACGACCTCAGTCGCAGCTTCAACTCCGACAACAACAGCAACACAACAACATTTCTCGCAACGACATTCACAACTTGATGTCAAAAGTTCATCACCAGCAGTTCAGCAACAATCTGACTTGACCGCAAGGTCATCAACAGCATCCACTTCTCAGGTACAACAACAAAACAGAGCATTGATTCTAAATAACACGTCACTCGCTTCATCAAACAAGATCTCAGACACAAATACCAATAACAACAAACAAACAAAGATTCTTCTTTTGAAAAAGTGTTTCAACAACAACAGACAAGCTTTTTACGAGAACGGAGATTCGGTTTCAGCCAAGTTGAACGACATTTCCAACTGCATCTCACATGTCGGAAAAGAAATAATTCAACAGCAGCAGCAGTTGTCGTTCCTCTCGTCATTAGCATCATCAGCGATAACGGCCTCGAGTAACAATCATTCGAATGGCAAGTTGGTAACTAAAAAAATTCTCCAAACATCTCTGAAGCAGAATAAAAAATTTAATGACGACACTCCAGTATTAAAAATGACCTTTAAAGATAGTTTCAACGCACGAAGGTGCAGTCTGAACGACAATAAAAGCACGGCAATGACGAAACTATTCTGTGCAACCTTTCCAAATGCTGCCAACAGCAAAGGTGCTTCCACCAATGATTCCACTTTCAGAACTTCTTCTGGCAGGGTATCGACAGGCAAGAAAGTTTCAAACATAAGAAATAATTTTGATAGGAGCAACGACGCAAATTTCGTTGGAAACAGTGTTGCTGCTAAGAAACCGTCAACCTCAACAACAACTACTACTCTACAACAAAAGCATAGTAACGTCTGCAAACATAGCGACAACATCAATCTTGCAAACGTTTTGAAACCTGCAAGAAACAGCAAATCATTCATCATCATCAACAACAACAGCAATCGTAATAATTACAATTCTGAATCAGATAGCGCCATTTCAGAAGGTTTGATCTGCTGATTGACTGATCTAACGATTGATTCTTAACTATCTTAATCAGCGTGATATAGGTTCATTAATTGAACGCTAAACGATTTCAGATGTTTTCACATCACCAACAGCAGGTAACAACATCAGCTCATTAAGAAACCCAGGTAGATACTTGCACCTCTCGCTACAAACAAACTCACTGAACAAGTTATCCTATGCGGCCTATCCTGATTCACGTGGGCATCTAACTGGCGTTCCTTCCAAGGAGTCCTTGTTTCGAGGAAAGAAATTCGAAATTCTCAGGTTTCTGACGTTTGCTATCTCTCCTTATACTTCATATTTTTGAGATTGCTGGCGATATTGCTGATGTTGGTCAGTTTGATTGAAAGGCAGTAGATGAATAAATGGTATGATATTTATTTTATGCTGTTTTTTCACTCATCTCTTTCTTACTCCATTCATATACTATATTATATTGAATAGTTTATTATGATTTATTATTTAAAATGTAAAAAAAATGTATTTCCTTTAAAACCGCAGAAGAAAATCTTACGACGACATAAACAGATTCCTGGATCCGCGAGACATCCTCAACAACGTCGTCTACGATGTTGACGCATCCGTCAACATCCTCTCCAGACAACGACAACCTGTTGAGAACATCTGCAACAATGTTTTCCCTGGTTGCGTCAACAACTTCAGCAACAATTTGTGCAGTGGTGGTGTAGCTGGAGGTCTGACTTCAACATGTTGGGATGGTCAGCAGCACCATTGCGTTGATGATGAAAAATAGTATGTTGGTTTCTAATTTCTATCTACTTTCTGGCTCTTCATTTCATTTTATTTCCTTGCCGTTTCCATTGGTGTTAATAAGAATTATGTGCAATGGTTGCAAATTTTTGTATCTTCATCGGTGAACAAACATTACAACTCTTAGTATAGTGAATGAAACGCTGACGGTGGTAACTAACGCAACGACAACAATGACTGCCGCTCTGCCATCAGCTTCTTCATCCTCATCGGCGTCTACGACAAAGGACAAAAAATTGAAATTCGATTCTCAATTTGAATCAGGAAATCTTAGGAAAGCCATTCAAGTAGGTGTGATAACGACGACGATGATGATGGTGATTATGGTTAAGCTGATAAAGACATGGGTAAACGAAAATATACTAATTATGTTACTTTACTTTATGTTATAATTAAGTTGATAATTATGAAATCAGGTAAGAGAAAGAGAGTACGACCTGGTTATGATGCCAGATGTTAACACGAGAAATCAATGCCAGTGGTTTTACTTCAAGGTCAGTAACATGGAGGTCGGTGTCGTCTACCGCTTCAACGTCATCAACTGCGAAAAAGTCAATAGCCAGTTTAATTATGGTGAGGTGGTTGTATGCTTTAACACACACAAACACGCACACACACACGTACACACAACAACACACACGTACACGCACAAACACACGTACACACACAAACACACGTACACGCACAAACACACGTACACACACAAACACACGTACACACACAAACACACGTACACACACAAACACACGTACACACACGTACACACACAAACACACGTACACACACAAACACAGGCATGCAACCAGTGATGTACTCGGTAGCGGAGGCAATGGATGGACGACCATGTTGGGTCCGAGTTGGTCAGGACGTCTGTTACTATAGGAACCACTTTGTGAAAGGTCAAGGTCAGTTGACAGGTTACGACGTCAGACTGACCAATCAGGACTTCTATTACACTGCCTCCTTCAATATTACGTTCGCCAGATGCCCCGATGTTTGCTATGTTGCTTATCATTATCCTTATCCGTACACTGCGATGATGGTTCGTTTTTGTATGGTGGTAGGATGGCGATGGTGATGAATAAGACGAACGTGGTGATGATGAATGGGAGTGGGATGGTGGTGATGGTGAGTAAGATGATCATGGTGATGATCTTGATAAATATAACTGTGAGGTGGATGATGACGGTTGCTATAAGAATGATGGGTGAAGATGGTAATTGTGATGTTGGATGAAGCACTGATAACAATACTAATGATGATGATGGTGAAAATGATTTAATGAAATGATGATACTGAGATATTTTTGGTTTTATTATTATTTTCATATCATACTTGGTCATCATTGCAGTACCATCTGGATGAACTGCACGAAACTTTCAACAGTATAACGTCGTCGTCTCCATCATGTCTCCCAGCAAAAACAACACAGTCACAACCACTCTTATCTTTTAGATTGCCATCAGCGTTATTAACTGCAGCAGCAGCAGCAACAACATCCGCATCATCAACATCATCAACAACTTCACCAGTAATTACAACACCAGAGTCGTCGTCAAAATTTGCAGCTAATTTTCTACAAACGAATGTGCCATCTTCACCTTCTCTAACGCTTACAACACCAACGACAACGTTTCCAACAGTTGCGAAACTGTCAGCAACAGGAGCAACGACATCAACTGGTGAGGCCGCTACACTAACAACATCGACGACAAAATCGCTAGTCACTACGGCGACATCAACCACATCAACGACAGCTCTAATAGCACTGGCAGCCATAAAACCTGCTAAATGTCCATCAACGAAATTCGCAACCCCAACAACGACGCAACCTTCAACAGCATCTCAAACAACTTCAAAGATAGCACAAGTAGCAACAACAACAACAACACAAGCAATCTCGCAATCTGTGCTAAGAATAACTTCATCGCAAATATCAACGACACAAATAAGAACATATGAAACAACAACACGAACACTGTCTCGCACATCAATGCCGCCAACAAAAACACTTCAAACGACAACAACGCAACAAACAACAACTCAACAAACAACAACAACGCAACGAACAACAGCGCAACGAACGACGACAGCAGTAGCAGACCTTTACTTCAAAAGACAAATCCTTTGTAAGACTTTAAACAACAACGACGTCCCCATTTTAACAATTACCTCTATGCCTTATTGTCTTCAACTTAATGATGATGGTGGTGACGCTGATGATGATGATGGTGATGATGTGAATGATAAAGATGCTATTACTGATGATAACTTCAACAAGATCAAACTGGATGCTGATCTCTGCACTGATGAAATGACTAAAAGCAATGTTAAAACGGGCCGTGCTAGTAATGTTGGCGGTGATGATGATGTGGGTGAATGTGATTATGCTGCTACTGCTACTACTGCTGCTGCTACTGCTACTACTGCTGCTGCTGATGATGATGATCAAGGTGAGAAAACACGCGACTTGTTGGAAAGGCTTATTCAGTTGAGTTAGTAATGACGGTGATGGTGATGATGATGATGATGTTGTTAGTGATGATGATGATGAGGATGTTAGTGGTGATGAAGATAATGATGATGAAGAAGAAGAAGAAGAAAAAGATGATGATGATGATGATGATGATGATGATGACGATGATGATGATGTTTACAGGGGAGAGACCCTACGTCATTCTATCAGCCAGGGTTCACCCAGGGGAGAGCAATGCAAGTTGGGTTTGAAGGGT